ATTGAAAACCCTCGCTCTGGTTTTAGATTGTAGCCCTGTTTGGCGCATCGATGTGTTTCTATAATTAAAAAAAAATAAGGTCATAATTTAATTCTCTGGTTGGTTTTTTTTGAACATTCCAGAAGGCACCTCCAATTAGTTTTAAAATACTTCGTCGTTTGGGTTCCCCACAGGATCAGGCCTGCAAAGGAGTAACTAGAGTTCTCCTGCCTGTTAAATAAAAGGATTGCAGCAATAACGGCTGTCAGCATTTTTCTCATTTAAACAAATAAAGCTGACAAATGATGAAGTTGTGTACTGCTGTGTTATGGTTCGTACATGCCGAGCAATTATTCATCTGCTGCCAGCGTTCGTCTATCTGCGACTAAACCATACAGCAGCACCGAGAGCTGATTAGCATATCAGTACCACAATCATAATTTTATATTCTGTAAGGCTGTGCTGTATAACAAAAGATGATGGTTGTAATTTGCACAATAATTTAAAGGGTTGGACGTTCCGTGCGTTTTACAGCCATGCAGGTACAATTCGGTTCATACTGATGACATGCTAGCTTTTGTTTGGATGGAGTTGGGGTTCTGCCTGTGGCATTAGCTATGAACAATTTGGCGGGTATCTCTTAGGCTAGGGGTTTTCAAACTTTTTTTTTTTCCTCACAACCCGGTTAAAGAAAGTTGTTGATGCTCATGACCCCACACAACTATCCAACACAATTCCGGGGTGGTAGGGAGTTCAGGGCTGGGGTAAGGGATTGGGGTGCTGGGTCAGGCAGATGCTTACCTTCAACGACTCTGTCAGCAGAACAGCAGGGATTCTCAGGCTGCTTCCTGCCTGCCCTGGCACCTCAGACCGCTGGAAGCAGCCAGTAGCAGGTCCAAGGCCTGGGCAGAGGGGCACAAGCCATTCTGCGTGCTGCTCTCATAGGCAGCCACCATACACTCCAGCTCCCATTGGCTGGAAACCAGCCAATGGGAGTGTGGAGCTGGGTCTGAAGGGGAGGGGCAATGCCTGGAGCTCCATGACTCCCTGCTTAGGAGCTGGACTCACTGCTGGCTGCTTCTGGGGTGCAGTGCAGCCTGGGGTGCCACGACAGGGAGGACACCTGCTGAGCAATCCCCCACTAATCACCTGATCACCCTACAGCCAAGCAGCCTGGTGCCTGGCATTCCACGACCAGTCCTGGGTCATGACACGTACTTTGAAAACCACTTCTTTG